CCTCGCACCCAACCCCCCACCAAACCCAAACTCCCTCCCAGAGCCCGCACCCATCACTCCCCCCGCACCCAAACTCCCCCCCAGGACCCACACCCCCTCCTGCACCCCAACCCCCCCCGAACCCAAACTCCCTCCCAGAGCCCACACTCCAACCCACCCCGAACCCAAACTCCCTCCCAGAGCCCAACCCCGAAACCTCCTGCTCCAGCCTGGTGAAAGTGAGTGAGGGTGGGGGAGAGCGAGCGATGGACGGAGTGAGGGTGGAGAGAGCAGGGGGTGGGGCCTTGGGAGAGGGGCACGGTCTCAGGGAAGAGGTGGGGCAAGGGTCTTTGGGTTTGCGCGATTAGAGAGTTGGCAGCCCTACCGGGCGGGCACATAAAAGCCCTGGCCGTGCCGGAAGAACGCAGCGCAGCCGGCAGCTCGCTGGGCACCCACCAGCGCAGGCAAAGCACCGCTCGAATGTCAGGCATCCGCGGCTTGTGCATGCGGGGGGGTGGGCACTGACTGTTCTGCCCTGGGGCCCGGAATTGCTGTCCGGGGACCTGGGCCAGGACGTCTCCAGAGGCGTGTGGAACGAACTCCTCCCTGATCATTCCTGTCACACACAGGCTGCTCCGTGCAGAGCAAAGGGGCGTGGGGCAGCCGGACAGCTCAGCTTACGAGCAGCCACCCAGCTTCATTTCCCCGTGGGGGTGGGAGGTGGGGCACTGCTGATGGAACCAGCGCCCAGAGGCAGCAGGCCGGGACCCCCCCCAGCGCTTACCCTGACTCAGACCAAGCTCTCCTCTGGGGACTCTCTCCAAAGCCTGCAAAGAAAACAGAGCTGATCTCACCATGCAAGACACGAGCCCCCACGGGCTGGAAGCGCTCAGAGAGCAGGAGCTCCCTCCTGCCCTCCCCACAGCGGGCAGCAGCTCAGGGCTGCGGGTGGTCGTATTCCAGCCAGCTCTGCGGGACAGGGAACATGGTGCGCCGACACCGGGGCTTTCCTCCAAAGAGCCCAGCGCACTTTGCAAAGGGGGGGGGTTATTCTCCCCTTACAACAGGCAGGTCTCGGACACTGCAGCCACTCCCCTCCCCGTTCTCCCATTCACAAAGTGACAGAGCTGGCAACATCACCCCGGCTTCCTGGTTCCCAGAGCCCGTCCTGCCTCCCACGCCCCCCTTCGGGCAGCAGCCCCCGTGTCTGACTGACATCGTGGGGAGAAGGGAAGGGCAAGGGACAAAGTGAGCACAGGGCTCGGTCCATCCGAAGCAGCCTTGGCCAAGCGTGCCGACAGGCGGCCTCCCCTACAGCCAGTTACACAGCTCAGAGCTAGCAGCAGCCATACGGGCATTCCCACGGTGCTCTGGGTCCCAGCCGGGTCCTTCCTCCCGTTGCCTGTGCCCGTGCGGCTCAGAAACAGGCGACGTCCGTTCACGAGGTGCCCGCTGAAGCGCTGGATTGCAGCCTGCACCTGCTCAGAGGAGCCGAGATCTACAAAGGCATAGCTGGGGGGGGAGGGGAAGGTGCCACGTTACCCTGGGACGGTGCACGCCCTATGGTTTATGGAAATATGCTGATGAGGGTGAATATGATGCAACTGGGATATGCTTCACGCAAAAGGTCTCTTGTAAGGTATCATTACAAAGCTTATAATCTACTGAATATATTCCTCCTATTTGTGTGCATGTATCATTCTTGTATCTGACGCTAGAAATATGAAGTACAACTCTGAGGTCCTATTGTAATTATCCAAAGGGTGGGCCATTAATGGTGATTTAGAATCTTGATGGCTCCCACTGATTAGGACAATTGTTTGTAAATGGTTTATTTACCTGCAAGCCTTCCTGTGGACGTGTGGGCCAGCCCAGGGGGAATGGAGACTAGGGGCTCTTACAGTGACATGTGACCATGGCACCTGATACTGGAATCCATCTTAAATCTGGTTCTTTTCCATTTAGAAGGAGGGGTGGGGACCCAGAGAAACGAAAGAGTCCCGCCTTGTGCCAAAGCTATAAAAGGGGGTGGAGCAGAACAAAGGGGGCGGCCAGTCATGAGAAAACCCCTGCTTACCACCTGAGATGTCTGCTGGAACTAACAAGGACTGTACCAGGGGAAGGATTGGGCCCAGCCTAGGAAGGAGTCTAGTCTGTGAAAGAAACTGATTGGAACAGCTCTGAGGGTGAGATTTACCTGTAATCAGTTTCTTAATGTATTAGGCTTAGACTTGCGAGTTTTGTTTTATTTTGCTTGTTGACTTACTTCGTTCTGTCTGTTATTACTTGAAACCACGTAACTCCTACTTTTTATCCTTAATAAAATCAGTTTTGTTTATTAATAAACCCAGAGTAAGTGATTAATATCTGGGGGAGCAAACAGCTGTGCATCTCTCTCTATCAGTGTTATGGAGGGCGAACAATTCATAAGCTTTATACAGAGTAAAGCGGATTTATGTGGGGTTTGGATCCCACTGGGAGCTGGGTGTCTGGGTGCAGGAAGCAGGTGACCTGCTGAGCTGTTTTCAGTTAAGTCTGCAGCTTTGGGGGCATGGCCCAGACCCTGGGTCTGTGTTGCAGCAGGCTAGCGTATCTGGCTCCACCAGGCAGGGTTCTGGAGTCCCAAGCTGGCAGGGCAAACGGGCTCAGAGGTAATTTCCGCACGTCAGGTGACAGTCCCAAGGGGGTCTCTGTGACCAAACCTGTCACAGACCCATCCTGCTGTGTCCAATAACAAGAAGCTAGAAATGGCCCAGCAATGAACAAGTGCCACTGGGCGGACCCGCAGGGAGCTCCCGGCAACGAGCCAGACTGCCATAGGGTGGAGAGAAGCCCAAACCAAGGGCCTTACATTATCTCCAGGAACTGTTCCCAAGACCCTACTCCTCGGGCTGCCTTTGGCCTCCTGTTGCACTAGCTTGGTAGGAACTCGGGGGCGGGGGGGGCAGGTGGAGAAAAGCTTCCAGGGTGACCCCAGAATGTTGTTCTGCTGTTTCTGGGCAGAAGGGAGAAGCTAGGGTGCCAGCGGGGGGCTCTTCCGAAGACACTCCCTAGAATGAAATAACTTGATAACTACCATGACCACCCAATCTGCGGAGCAAGCTAAGGAAAGGCCATTTGCTCTCCCAGGGAATGGGGTATCAGCGAGCCTCTCTCCTCACAGAACAAAGCCCCTGGAGCAGGGACGGGAGCTTGCAGAGCTGGACAACAGGGAGAACTACACTGAGGGCGAAAGGAAAAACAAACCTACCTTCTCAACCCGGAATGGCACCTTTTAATACGCTGCGGGTGGAAGTCCCTGAGCAGGAGCAATATGTCCTCCTGGGAAAGCAAAGGAGCCCACGTTAAGGGGAGAGGCCTTGTTACAGCAGAGGCACTGACAGCGGCCGCAGAAGGCGGTTTATTTGGAAGATTCAGGACAGCGGTTTCCCACAGGGACGGGAGCGCATTTTATTTTGGGTGAGTCCAGCGATTGTCTGTGCCGAGACAGGCAGCTGACAAGGCTGCAGCGAAACCGGTTACACACAGAACAGCCGGCCCTGGAACGGGATCAGCGTAACGGGTCACGCCAGCGGAGCAGACACCAGCTCCTGGTTCAGAAAGACGTACCGTAGGGAACGGGAGCAGAGTAACCATGGGAGCAAGATGAAAGTTCCTCCTGCCCTGATAAGAGTCACGGCCATTATATTAAACTGCTGGGTTCCTGCTGCAGGTTCCCCCCAAGAGCATCGCTAATCCCATGACCAGCACCAACCTGCCACCTCCATGTCCGCACTTACACAGGAACAAGTGCGGATGTTTGCAAGCCAGCTTTCGTCTCCCTTGGACGATTATTTGGCGGCAGAGCGGGGAAATCAATCCGCGTAACCGCATTTCACCAAGAGTTAAAGACGGCAGACTACGTACGACTCGGTGGGACGTCAATGTTAACTGCTTAACTTATATCACTAAAGCCAAGAACGCCCCTTCCAAAACAGTGATGAAGATACCTCCTTCATTTCAGGCGGGACATTTCCGACATAAACTTCCGAATTCTTTTTCTTGACGACACCTTGAAAAACAAGCAAGAAAAACACCGAAAACTCCATTTTGTGCTTCCGGCGAAGCAGGGTCTTGACAAGCTTAACGCAAATCGCAGGCTGCAATTTTCTTCCGGAAACAGCAACTTTTTTTAAAATAATTGCAGCAAATTTGACTCAAATTTTGGCCCAGTCATCCAAGCATCAGGCCTGCCTGTGAGAACCAAGCAGGACACGCAGGATCTCCTCTGTGCCGCTGCCCTGCTGCGGGAGGAGCACACCTGGAATCGCCACATTAACAAACTGTGGCTATAACTTTTGAACAACCAACCAAACAACTTTCTTACAGCCTTATTTGTGGATTAACAAACCTGAGAGTTGTTTGAAGTGGCCCCAGGGGAAAGGGACAAATACCTATTTTGGTAAACAGCTCCCCCTCAACGGGTTATACCAACAATTATAGAAATACATTTTGGGTTAAGTTCTGATGATGGACATTAGCCAACAGATGCTAACAATGCCAAGAACTTTATTGTTTCTCTTGCATATCTGTGCATCACACACACACACACACACACGCAATATCTCTGGGGCTTTAGCTACTTTACTCCTCAAAAGATCAACAAGCTCTATTTTGACACCATTAGATCAGGATTAAACAAAGACTGTGAATGGCTATCCAACTACAGAAGCAGTTTCTCCTCCCTTGGTGTTCACACCTCAACTGCTAGCAGAGCACCTCACCCTCCCTGATTGAACTGACCTCGTTATCTCCATACTGATTTATACCTGCCTCTGGACATTTCCATTACTTGCATCTGAAGAAGTGAGGTTCTTACCCACAAAAGCTTATGCTCCCAATACTTCTGTTAGTCTTAAAGGTGCCACAGGACCCTCTGTTGCTTTTTACAGATTCAGACTAACACAGCTACCCCTCTGAAGCTCTATTTTAGTGACAATAAAATGCATCTTTTATCTTAAAAGCCAAAGATGGATTCCCCCGTCACTCCCACCCTCCTGATCCAGGTTTTGGTTATTAGTTTGCAGGATGAGATGCCTGTTTCCCTTGAACCCCTGTGAAAGGGTTTATCATGGAAATTCAGGTACAAACTTAGGTCTTGGTCCTGCAAAAAATGACCCACGTCCTTAACGTCTATTCAGTTTAACATCTGCATTTTATGGGTTTAACCGTTTGCCAGATTAAGGATTTAGCTTGAACCACCACCCATGGATTATTTTATATCCCGTTGGTTTTGATAACAAACAAAGAGCAAAGTTGGTCACTGCTAAGAGAATGAGAGTGCCCCACAAAAGTGCCTGCAACTCTAACGACGGACTCGTTTGCAATATTAAAAGCGCAGTTGTAAGACGGTCACAGGTACAAGAGAGACCCGGCCTGTCACAGGACACAGCTGTACATCACACAGAACGGCTGTTTGTAGAGATGCTGCTGTAGCATTAAGCTCTGTTTGAGCAGTGCAACACACAGCATTAAATCCTGGACACACAGAAAGTTAATGATTCTCTCGCCTTCTTGTGGAGGATGCAAAGTGAACAGTCACCTGAGCAACCCCAGCAGTGGCGAGGAAAAGGAATCAGGGTCTGAGTTTACCTGAGTATTTGAACTGCTCCGGTTTCCCATTCGGCTTGTGGGGCTGGGGAGGACCCCAGCCACCGTTGTTGCTTGCCCTGAAACGGCAGAAGGAACAGAGGACACGCGCGCTTTGTGACCTTCTCACCCATGACCCTACAGTCGTAACGTGGAAGGAGGGTGATGTGAGAGGGAGCTCTGGGCGCTCAGCACCGCTGGGAAGATCAATAAATCAAGCCAGACACTCGCTCAGGGCCCTGGGGCAGTGCAACATGCCACACCCACGATTCACCCCTAGCTCCAGGGCCTCTCTCGCGCTCACTCACACGTGTGTGTTTCAAGCCTTCATGCCACCGAAATAACCTCGAAACAGGACCGGGGCCTAGATTCACAGAGCCCAAGGCCAGAAGGGACCACCGTGGTCATCACGTCAGCCCTCTGGCCTAGCACAGACCAGACATTAGAACTGCCCCAAAATAATTCCTAGAGCCCATCTTTTAGGAAACCGATGCTGTGACGTTTCCTGAGTTTGCAGCAGCCTGAAACAGGTGTGAACTGAGCTGTGCCTATGCCAGTGGAGGGCCGCACTGCCAGATTTAATTCCTGCTAAAGATTTTCTGGACCTGGGGATGCTGCTGCTGCAGAACTGGGATCCACCTGGCCACGGGGCCCGATACAAGTCTGAGCTGGGGGCCGGAGCTTTGCGCTGGGAGGGCCGCCCCAGGGACAGGGTTGCCCACGACCCTCCCCAAACCGAGTGGTGCCTGGGGTTGCAGCACCACAGAACCCCATGGGGCTCATTGCAATGCTGGGGGCGGGGGGCCAGGAGCTGGGAGGGGCATTTCCCAGCCAGGAGAGCCCCCAGCCCCAGTCTGACAGACACCGAGCCCCCCAGCTCCCCGCCAGCAGGAGCTCCTCTCCCCCAGCTACTTACATGGTTCAGGGGTCACGGGGCCCAGCAACCTGCAAAGAGACCAGGAGAGACCCAGTGAGCGTCGGGGGCCGAGGCGCGTCTGACCATGCTGCTCCCAAGGGAGGTGCCCGCAGAGCTGTGCCCACTGCAGACAGGTGTGCACTGCCGGGCACCCCCACCACAGGGCCCCACCTGGGAGGGGCACCAGGGGCCTATGGGGGGGGCAATTTCCCTCCCGGGTCCCCCCAGAGGGGGACTATATAAGGGGGCCAGTTAGCCCCAGAAAGCCACAAAGGGGAAGGGGTGGGACGGTTCCCCGGGGGGCTCCGATAGGGAA